AACAATCAGTGTACTAGTGATATGGTTGCTTGCTTAAGTCCTTATACTCTTCCAAATAAAAAGTAATATGCATTAAGAAGGATAGAAAGAAGTTTGCTCATATCGTTTATTTTGAAAAGAATCAAGTACATTTGGTATTGTATTTCGAGTCAAATTTCTTGCGCGCTTCTTGTTTTATTGTGCTTGAAGCCTAGAGACAATCGAGTCATCCAAGAAAGATATTGTTGGAAAACACTGCAAAAAATCCAAGAGTAGTTTTGGTATTCTTGAAAAGGTTGAAAAGGTGGAAAAGTGCGTTTATATGGTTTTTTCCTCCAACGCCGAAAAACGGAAGCAGCTTTCCGTTATTCTTTCGAATGTATCGAGTCTACACCCTCCGAGTACATTAAACGTTCTACTATAGCTTCCGATCAAGGCTTTTTTAGGCGCAAAAGGACAAAAAACGACCAAGTTGCAAGTTTAGAATATATCACTTACAGTTTACCCGAAAGTCTTTGAAAGTAAATTTTACCTTTATTTTTTGTATGAAGTTTCTGAAAGTCTGTTCGAATGTGTATTCATAAAACAAATCACTCACTATCATATGCACCTGTGCAAAAAGTTTCCGCTCTTTAAAAGTCTTCAAAATCCATTTTTTTCATTGAAGACTTGCGTACCATATGAAAGCTTTCCTTGAAGTTTCTGATGTTTTGCTATTGTTTCCGTAGATGTAATCCGTTTCGAAGAATCGTGAAGAAAATTTGCTGAATTTTCGAGGAAGAATGGAATCATTTTTTTCAAGGCACGATTCTTCGAAACGGACTTACATCTATGGAAACAACAGCAAAACATCAACTTCAAGAAAAACTTTCGCATGGTAAGCGAGTTTTCAATGAAAAGATGGTTTTTTCGTAGCTAGTATCTCAAGAAAAAAGGTGTGGAGAGATGCATTAATTGTGTTCCGATTCAATAAAAAAAATTAAAAGAGCCGCAGAAAATCTGTATCTGTAATTTTGATGTCTCTGGAATCCTTGATCACAATGAAACAAAAATTGCTTTAAAAATCAAATCGGGATTACTTGTCAGATACTCTACATCCTCTGGCAAACAGATAAAAATGAAAGCTAAGGCAACATAAGGAGGAAGCTGAAAGTACACTTTTATAAGCTTTCGATGATAGATATCCTGATATCTCAACAGAATAGTGCATCCACCCTTTGGCTAATTTTCAGGTCGTTGAGTACAGCTGTCTGTTGAATAAGAGTACAAAACTGTTTACTTTACGCTTTTCACACCATCAGCTGCACTGAGAAATTGCAGAAACAGCCAGTATTGAGTAAAAATGGAGATTGATATGCGATATGCGAAAGCGAGAGAGTTCATGGAGGGAAGGAGTGCGTGGGAAGGATAAGTACTGTGGTACTGTACATAGATGTTCTGCTGGGAAAGGGTAGAGAGCACAAAGAGTGAATTGATTCACGGTATTTCAAATTTCTTTTCATGTCCATATTCAGCGGTTTTGCTCTAAGGCTGATTCATAAAGCGAACCAGCCCTGAGATTCAAGTTCCACCACATAATACTATGAGCACCAGCTGTCGGATGTATGTTTTCCCTTCGGGACGTGCACAGCTACACATCAACCTCCCTCCCTCCCCTCCGCTCTCCCCCCCCCCTCACATAAAATTTATCTTATAGGCAGCGTCCGGGCAAAATTTCGAATGAGATTTTTCTAGCTTACATTGGTTAATCCCCCGCTGAATCCGGAAATGCAGCTTGGAGACCATGGAAATGTCAAAAACGAGGTTTAGCAGAAGCGCTTGATCTGAACTATGATGCGTGCCGCCAAGGTTAAGACGTAGAGTCGCTGTGGGACCCTACGTCTTACTGAGTTCTCAACCTGGAGGGACGCTGCCTTTAACAGAGCGAGACTTTCCAAAATAAATCAATTGTTTGTAAGCACAAGTCACTGGTAAAATTATAACTCATGTGGGCCGCTATGAACATTACGCGATATCCATTCAATTAATGAATCTCAAAGCCGACTTTTTGAAAGAGAGATTAGAGCACTGAGTAAGCTATCCCGTGCGTTTGTGGCACATGTTGACTTCAGCTCTCTAATCCTCATAAAACAGGCACGAATCAATAACATCGAATGTTTTGCTTTGCCCTTTAGAACAATACTGGCAGCATTAGATATTTTGTATTCATGATGTGATATAAATGCCGCACTTCTGCTCCTTTTCAGTAAATTTTTTGCAAAAATGGCCGTTGCAGAATCTGCATCACCAGCGGGTTCCTTTTTTCTGTCAAACTCTGGGGATCCGCTTCGCCAGTACTTTGCGCCACATTACTACATATATAAAATGCTATGCATCATTTTTCAGAATTTTGTTCATAAGCAGTATACGAGGAAAGGAAAAAAGGTATTCAAACTGTGTGATTGCACCACTTTTGGAATCGCAATGGAGCAAGCAGTGGCGGTAAAGTCACCATCTCAAAAATAGTAATGAATGAAAAACTTAATACAAATGCGATTGCAGTGAAATAAATATAAACTCGCACTGTAACGCCATAAGCTTGCAAATGCAAAAATTATTGTAGCTACAAAAACCGACTTATCAGCCGAGGACGGTTACTTGTTGACGCGGGGCATATGTGCAGCCTAGATTACATATGCAAAAAATAATATTAGTTTACTTGTGGAATGAGACACAAGCTTGCTTTGCAAGCTAAATCTGGTCAGTGCACCCAGTAACAAGTCTTTGAAGGGTGGAAAACGGTGAAAACTTCGTAAAAACTTTGGAATCTCTCCCAGCTATAGAGACGCAGCCCTAAAAAATTTTCTCGCGGTTTTCTTTGAAGGAAGCCTGTTGCCTCAGGAATGACACTTTCACATCAAATAAGAAAGTTTAAAGGGTTAGGTTTCCTTGAAGTCCTTTTGAAATTTTTCCAAATTGTTTTTGTTTTTACACGTAGAGCCAAGAGAAAATGTTGCCCTATACAAGACTCTCTTTCCTATTACTACTTTCTCTGATGAAAGAAGTTAAGGACCAATAGGTTATTCAAAGCGTAGCGGGCCAGCGGCTTCCGAGATGGTAAATGCTATTTTGCGTGAGTTCTACAACTATAAAAATCATACATCAGAACGACCAGACGAAGGATATGGTAAACATAAGAGCAGATGTTTCTTTTGCGAATTTATAGGACTATCGTAACAAAGGGTATAAAGCAGCAAAGATAATGTTGTTGTGTAACTTTTGAAACCAAAGCCCGGCGCGAGGGTCACTCTGCGGCGTAAATAGTTTATGAGAAGGGTTGGCAGTACGCTAGTCATTTGATCTCCCTATCAGTAATGTAACTGAACTGTAATTATTTCACCATAAGAATGAGCGAGCTCTGAAAAGCTGGAATTCTTGCTGAGCCTTTTAGTATGAAGCACATTGCATTTTTTCATCGCGAAAGTGATTAAGCTGCAGTGGAATGCGCGTGCTTGATTGTGAGACTAGAAAACATTGAAGTCGAGAGAACCCTTTGTAATCAGCACATTAATCAGCGCATTTCTTGAAACAGTGAAAACCAGCGATGTTCGAGAAGATTTGGTTCCGGTCATAACGCAGGGTTAATACAGAAAGCAAGGAATATAGCTGCTGATTGTACAAAAAGGGGTTCTTTGCGGGATGCTTAGATTCAAGTAATATGCTATTGAGTGTTATATTGATTGCATGAAAGCAGCTGAGTGAAGCAAACTTAAGTACTAAAGCAATAAATGCATTTATCAATTCAAAGAAGTGCACAATGGTGACGCTGTAAGCTATTAGGTTATCCGGAAATTGATGCAGATTCCTTACGCGATCGTGGCAGTGTTAATATAAAAATGTGAGAAGCATATCATTTGATAGAGCAAAATAACCTTTACAAGACTGCATTAGAATAATCGCAAAAAGTTTGATACACCTGATGTTTGAAAGCAAATTCCAAAATTCCAGTTTCCTCACATATTTATATCAACACAACAACAACCGATTAAGAAACCCACATTAATTCCGGAAAACTAATATCACACTGAAGCGAAATCTGTAATGCTTCAAGCAAATAAACTTCTGAAAATGTTTTTCCAATGTAAATGCCAAAGGTATTTTGTTCGCCTGTCATCATCATGTGAGGTTCTCGAAACTAGGAAGATTTGTGCTCACTCATTCATGTTCACTCAGGCTAATCTTTTTTGATCTTTTGCAATTTATCCTCATTTGTGAGCTGACACATGATAAAGATGGTGTTCCGCTCAAGTGATCTGTGACGTAAAAGGAAATCGCAAAAGGGTAAGACAATAGTTGGATGTTCTTAAATTGGGAAAAGAAAGGAAACTGGAAACAAATTGCAGTAGCTGTCTCCTTCTCTCCTTCAAAGAAAATACGAGAACATCTCTGGTTGGCTATCTGGTAACTTGAAGACTCGTCCATTTGAAATGAAGTTAAGCAGATTAAGTTTGCAAAAATTGCGTTGTTTAGGCCTACAGTAAGCTTCTCATACAATGATGCTCAACGAGCGTACATTTGATAACCTAGAATTTTTTCTATAATCATAGGTAATTAGCTTGAAACCATGTCTTGTTGCCATCGGAGAATTTCAAAATCACTCGCAAAGCAACTCAAGTTTGATAGGTATAAAAAGTAAAAGAAAATTTGCTGACAATATTGTAGTAGAGAGAAAAAGGCAGCTGCATTTCATTCTGCTACAAATCTTAACGAAAAGCATGGTTTCAGTCCTGCAAGGAGGGCCCTTGCACAATCATAATTTCCGAATAGCAATCGAATTCATGAGAGAATCTGGGAACGAAAAATTTCTGAGCACTACAAAATGATATAGCTTTTCAGTTGAAATAATCGAACATGCTTAGTGAACAGGGTATGGACACAAGCAAGACAAGGACAAGGATAATTTATTCATCGGCACCACTCTGTACTGACGCAAACTTTGAACGTTAATAGATTGCAAATTATATAGAAATCAGTTAGTTTAGGTGTCAAGACCGACTTTTGGTCGATGCGTGTCGGCGCTGTCGGTTGACAACAAATTCATGGTGTGCGGAGGCGGAGTTAACCTGGGAATATGGCATTTGGGAATGTACTCTCTCGCTACTCCGATGGAAGGAGCTAATGGTTTGTCGAGTTTAGGATTACTAATTCATTTTGAACGCCATATATAGTAATGGTACGAAAGTTCGTTCGCACCATAAGCAAAAATATAACCTTTATCTCTGAACCGATTTGCACATTCATTCTTATTTTCATTTGAAAAAGGAAATTATGTTCTTTCCAATAATTCCTAAAGGACCTTTTGAACAAAACAAGCTCCAGAGATCATAGCCGAAAAAGAAAATTACGCAGTTTTCGAATTAATGTGTTTGGTAACAAAAATCGAAGCATTATATGTCGGCATCATAGGTTTTACTACCTGTTATCTTTAACTGAACAAAGTTTGCGCTGATTAAACGTATCTTTAAAACTTTTTGTGGCAAACAGTACAAAACAACAAAGCTGATTTTTTGGCAATTTTTCGAAAATCACAACTTTTCCTAGAGACGTGCAATGAGCACAAACTCAATTAGAAAGGGCAGATGGTAAAACCTGTGGTACTGACTGCCTCAATTTTTATTGCAAGTTTGAGATTTTTTGCGAACACACAGGAAATTCGAAAAGTGAGTAATTTTCTTTTGGAGCTTCGATCTCCGGAGCTTGCTTTTGCCGCAAGGTGCATCATAACTGTCAAAAAGAACATTTTTTCTTTGAAAAAAAAAGAAACATACGCAAATCGGTCTAGAATGAAGGAAATTATAAATTTTTTAAAGTTGGTGCGAACGTACCATCGTGCTAACCTAATATGAGGTATCTTTCCAATTCAATCAACAAAGTCATTATCTCATACTTTTTGTGACTAGCTCTGTTACCTTGTTCAGTTGAGCAAAGCAGGCTGTATTGGATGGCTCTCAAATCATTCACATAGAATTTGATTCACTCGGTGTTTAAAGTCGAAGTACAAAATGTGGTTGTGCTAAAAATCCGATTTTTTTGTAAAAATATCTATGAACCTTCTATGCACACGAAAATTAGGTCACCACATTAGTTTTGTTTCACTTCTTCCTCTGCAAATTCTAAAATTCGGCAAAGTCCCATATTTTATATGAATGCGAAATGGATTGTGGTTATCCATTAGCAATATTTCGCCCCCGCGGACATACAGTATATGTAAACGCAATTCTCTAACGGCAGTCATCCAGTATTCTTCTTTTGAAAATTCGCACATTTTTTTTCAGCATTGAATCTTTTATGCATTCTTAGAGCATATATTGGTAAGGAGGCTTGACTTAAGCTTTTAGTGACACATAATGAAAATTTGCCGAAAATGGTTTGGAAGAATTTCAAAAAATTCGAAAACTGTCTTTATGTGTGGCACGTATATTTCATAAGTCCACAACCCTCTGCAAATCTGGACATAGGGAAATTTTTTCAATGTGGGAATTTATGAATATCTTTGCGTTAAATCTAACTGAACTCATGCGAGGACCTAATACTGAACACATCTAAAATTCTCCGCTTACAAAAATTGAGAAAGAAATGGGGCGTTAATTAGCAAAATGTGATCCTAGTTATTCCGGGTCCCTCACAAATTTGTCGTTATAGAATTTATACATTTAGAAGTGCAGCCACGGATTATAACTCTGCAAAGTGTAGCTTTATTGCTGTTATTCGAAAGCAATTTCAAAATTCAAATCGAAATTTTGTGGCTCGTTGGCTTTGTTACATGGCTTTCTTCTTTTGGTGCTAACAAAAAATCCTTAGCATTTGAAGCAAAAGAAAATTGTGGGAAATAATAGTATCTAGAAGGTGAGTTTTGAATTTGAGTGAGCAAGTGGTTTGAAGGTTGCGGATTTGCGGAATCTATTGAAAAAATGGCAAATAATCAACGGTGTTAATGTGTTGACAACATGATTTGATTGTATCTGCGTGCTTTGAGGAACTTTTGCTGCGGTAATGTGATTAGGGGTTTGCAAATTTCCTGTTTAGGGATATAACTGCAAGCAAGAAAAATTGTTATTGAAAACTCTGATTTGATATCCACTGTTAGCAAAATGAGATTGGCGCCGTTAGTAGCACTAGTATCAGATTTTTAGAATTGTCTAAATCCTACTTATGCTAAAGTCATTCGTACAAGATGTGATTATTCATAGTTAGCGCTTGACATTTACTTGACGTTGCAAAGTCGTTCTCATATAATAATTCAAGTAGGTGATTACTGTTAATATGAAGCTGATATTACGATCAGCAACCCAACGAGTTCGCTATGAAGCCACGGGACTAAAAAATGAGAAATTTACTTTCAAGTTCAATTATTTGTCAAATCTCATAATGACGTATGCTTGTGGGCATTCATTGAGCCTCATCAAGATTGTCATGAAATTTTATTAGGCTTACGTTCCGGCTTATCGCCTTCATCAAAAAAAGTGAAACGTAAGCCTAATAAAATTTTATAACAGTTTCGCGAGGCTTCACAATTGCACATAAGAAATTAATTGTCCACAATCTCTGACGAAGGCGAAAATCCGCAACGTAAGCCTAATAAAATTTTTATGACAATTTGCAGGCTTTACAACATAGAGAATTATGTACAATTTCTGACGAAGGCGATAAGCTTAAAGAGCTTTATCAAATTCTATGACAATCTCGAGTATAGTTTTATTGAGCCTTGATTTGTTGAACTTGTACCCAAAACTGTGCTTTGAAGGCACCGCAAAAACAAAGTTTCTAATTTTCTTCTTACCTCAGCTTGTCCGCTACGATTTATCCAAAAATAAAAAATAAAAGCAACGGGACAAGGCTTTCCTCAAAGCCCTCTATTTTGTGTGCGGGCGATTTAATTCTCCGACGTTGACCTCTGCAAATCCTACATTCTCAAAGGCAGAGGCTCGACATCAGATGCTAGTCCACCAAAGTACATCGTAGGCTCAACCCCAACCTCCGATTCATGCTCTATTTGTTGAAAACGCGCTTCAAAAGTTCATCTGTAACGCCCACATAATTTAAGTGGGCAGGGCTGGTGGACTCTTGAAGCGCCTTTTCAGGAATTCCATAAATTCAAGGGTGGGGTTGAGGTTACGGCTTACCAGGGGGTCTAGGGTTTTGGTGGTTTACCTAAACCACCAAAATTTAACAGAGTTCCATTTTGCCGAGACACTGCCTTTGACTGGCGCGCATGCGCACTCTGCCGCAGGGGGGGGGGGGGGAAGGAGGGAATCGAAGGCTGGCGCTACTCTCCCACTAGGGTGTAGGTTTTCCAACTTTCCGGGATTTCCTGCTTTTGCTCAAACTTTACGACTTCGCACTTGTGCGATGGAGTATCCGCGGGCGAGCATTTTCGCATGGCTTCAAAATCCCACCATCGCCAATCTTGCCCGGACACTGCCTCTAAGCTTATAATAATAAAAAAAATGTTGGTTTTGCCATGGAGAAGTGCGGATTTTACAAAGTTAGGTTGGAGCAATCTCGCAGCTTTATATGTCCAAAAAGCAATTTTTCTGACATCTTCAAGCTTTACAACAGTTTTGAATTTGGAATTGGAAGCAGTTTTAGAAAAGAGCTTGAGTTAAAGAGTTCGCGGACAAAGTTTCGAATAATGTTTACATTTACGCAAGTTGTTTAAACCGTTTTTCATACGTCTACTCTCAAGTTTTCTACATACTTGTGTAGAAAAGTAAACTGCATCAAAAGTTCGCTGGTGCAACTAAGAGTTTATGATTTCCACATTTATCTTTGCTGTAAGAGCAGAAACAAACATGAACTTTATCCATAGCTAATTGTAGATAAACCACAACACTAGTGCTTGACGCAAGCGCCTAATTTCATCTTATATATAAAGCTGAATGTCTATTTGTCTGTCTGTATGTATGTACGTATGTTCCGAATAGAAAATTCCATTTCTGAACCGATCCGGTCCAAACTTGGCACACATACGCTACGGGCCCCGGCGGGTGTCATAGGCTACTTTTCGTCATCGATCGATATCGATTTTATCGATTTTTATCGATTTTTTTTGCTGAGTTCACCTACGGGGCTGGGAGTTGGCACAGGGGGGTAATCGAGCATGGGGATTCCGAATACAATATTGGTTTTCAGGATTATCGATTACTTTTATCGATTTTATCGATTTTTTTGCAAAGTTTGAGCTACGGGGCTGGGAGTTGGCACAGGGGGGTAATCGAGCATGCTGATCATCCCCAAGGGGGGTGATCAGCATGCTCGATTACACCCCTGTGCCAAATTCCAGCCCCCTAGCTCAAATTTTCAAAAAATCGATAAAATCGATAAAAGTAATGGACGATCTTGAAAACTAATATTGTATTCGTAATCAGCATGCTCGATTACCCCCCTGTGCAAAATCCCAGCCTCGCATGTCAAAATTTACAAAAAATCGATAAAATCAATAAAAGTAATCGATAATTCTGAAAACTAATATTGTATTCGGAATCCCCATGCTCACTTCCCCCCTGTGCCAACTCCTAGCCCTGTAGGTGAACTCTGCAAAAAAAATCGATAAAAATCGGTAAAATCGACATCGATCGATAACGAAAAGTGGACTGTGACACCCGCCGGGGCCCGAAAGTGTATGTGTGCCAAGTTTGGTCCGGATACGGCGGAGCCGGGTAAGCCAGCTAGTAAAAGTATAAAGATCATCCTTCCCATGAAAAATAAGTGTCAAGCAACTTCAAGCATTGTATGCGAACAATAATTCTACATCGGGAAGACTTATTGAAAAAGTGAAACGAAAACTTGATTTTATTGTACCTCTTTAGAGGTATTCTGATATTGAAATATCAGAATAGGTATGCCAAAAGTGTTCTTTCCTATTAGCAGCATTAAAAGTAATGGGTAAGAATAGCTATCTATGAGTTAGCTTCGTAAGATACGGATTGTTAACATCACTAAAGCGTAGCGATTGAGAACACTAAAAGCATTTATGAGTTGTAAAGGTGTAATATGTAGCATGAGTAACCCAATTCCATCTGTACTTTATTCCGATTCTAGACAAATGTATTGTAGAGAAAATAAGTAATCTCATCATCTAGTATGAAGATAAAGGAACTTGACAGGTGAAGAAATGTGATGAAAAAGAAACTTGACGCGCGAAGGAATCCTTTTTTTTCTGTACATTATTATGAAAGAAGCTCTACTTTGCCGCCATTTTTTTCACTCCGTTCTAAGCGAGCATGTAAACACCACCTCACTAATTTTCTAAGTAAAAATCCAGTTATTGCAATAGTTGTCGGCTGCATTGAGAAGTACAGAAATGGATTTGTTCACTGTACCAAGAAAAGACTAGCAAGCACTTTTTGTACAAATAGTTATTTTTGACGAAAGGTTTTACGTCTACTCATGAAGTTTTTATGCGTTGTCCTTTACTAATATTAGAGAGAGTATGGTACCTTAAGTGCATGGTTTTATCAGGTGCTGTCTACAAAAAAATTATTCATTGTACAATTTAGCACAAGCTTTAGGGCAAATGTGAAATGATTGCATGTACTGGGCATTCTATAATGAATAGATTTTTTTTGCACAGTCTAGAAAAAGCCCAACTTTTTGGCAAACACCTATTAATCTTGTCAATTCACTTAATCAGTACCTATTTCCCCTATGTGGAGACACAAAAATATGAAAATAATTTTATCGTTAATAAGCTTTTGAAACCTTGTCTTAGAACCAAGGCTAAAAAAACGCTTTTTGATAGACGAAAAGACTTGTCTCCAGGAAACTATGACAGTCCAATAGAAATTGCAAAATCTTTCTCACTCCATTATTATCAACATTCAGTCAAGGCTTCAATTTGTGGTCTTTTGACATACGTCTGTGGAACAATGGTGAATGGCAGCAATCATTTTTACTTTATTTTTCTTACATTCAAAACCCTTTTTTTTCAGTGCGCCATCTCACTTGCGAAATGACTACCGATAAAATTTTGACTGGCAGCATGCACCCGATCCTATCGCAATGGGACCATTCGGGAAAGAAGCTATCAGATGTCGAGGGCCGTCCACAGTCCATCTACAGTATCCTGCAGACGAGCGCAGTTTCGTTTACGGCTGGAGATTCGAGTCTCATCGATGTTTATCTGAATCTTGGTTACGTTGCGTTTTCATTGGATGCATTGCCTTTGGAATAAATTAGTTCCGTTTTCGCAGGGGGGAAAACCACCTGTTGTGACGCGGGCGAGTTTTTTCCTCAGGTTATGCGATTCGGGCGTTGGTGAATTGAAGGTCGCGACATTTGAATTTGAATACAATTTGGCTAGTAATCTGTTTCCCATGCTGAACCTGTTGTCATGACCGTATGTCGGAATAATATTTAATCAGGCGGAGACTACGACCGCTCGCTCGTCCTATATCTGTTGTGTTTAGTGAAAATTCTGCCCCCATTGTTTAGCCGAGTTGACTCTATGGTTCATACCAGTAGCGCAGGCGTCATTCGAAGACGAGTACGAGTGGTGTACTTGACCGATTTGCGTGGCTTCTTGAGTATCCTTGATTCATGGTACTTCTTTTTTATGGTTCCGTTTAGTCTGGAGTTTTTGTGTGTCCATACCGTACCTCTTCTTGTTTTGTTTTTAGCGTAGGTTAGCTTGTAAATATTGTTTTGCTGTTTTCCTACTCAAGCACAATGGAAAGTGTCATTATTGAATTCCTTCAACTCCAAATTCTTAGTTTTTACTGAAAGAACTATCGAAGGGCCAGAAAACTTTAGAACCAAAGGGTTCATTCGCATTTGCTTGGGTGTAAGATTTGACACCTTAACACATATTATATACGCCGAGTGACATTTGATGTGATTTGCTTTGTTATTCATTGACAGTTTATTTTGAGAGAGGAAGGGAAAAGGATATCTGAGAAAAAATGCAATAAGCGACATCACATTTATTGATGAAGATTGGTTTGCCACAAATTGCGCATAAGACTTTGATACATCTCTCCTACTTTGGTTTTAGCGAAGTTGTAAACGTTCAGAAAAAATCTACGATGGAGTATGAACTAAGTAAGCTGACCGAGTCGTGTGGTAGAAGCTGACTGAAACATACAGGACTAAAAATTAGGAAAAGCATATTCTCAATCAGCGCTCAAAGCTGATTGAGAATATGCTTTTCCTAATTTTTGGCCCTGTATGTTTCAGTCAGCTTATACCACACGACTCGGTCAGCTTAGTTCATACTCCAACGTAGATTTTTTCTAAACGAGAATATATAAGTCCTTTTGGGCAGAGCTAAGTTAGGTATCTTCTCTAGTCAGATTTACAGTGTGGAGCAAATCACCTATTATTCTTTCCTAGTGTGGGTTTCAATAGAAACTTCAAAAGAGTTCTGAGCCATTAAGAGTCGCTCCTGTTCAAGGAACAAGCCAGAAACTTCAATACAAGTCTAATCAGACTCGCCGATTTCAAATTTGAATTTGCGCATCACTGTTATGCTTCTTCCAAAAATTATCAGAGTAAACCATAATAACTGCTTCTTCAGTAATCTTCGAATATGTAATTATACCAGTAAAAAAGTCAGAAATCTTTGTAAAAAGTTCAAACGAATTCAGCATGGGCGAAGACTGCCGCGCAAATTTCCTGATTTTTTGAGGTTTTTCTTATCAAAAGCTTATTTCACAACGGTGTTGTATCTCATAAATTCTCACCGTAATCCTGCAGTAACGAAGAGGGAACAAATTTCGCTCTACGCTGTAAATCTAAGCGGAAGTCAGCTTCAAAAAATGGTACCTAGAGCTTCTCCAAGGACTTCATGGTGAGAGAGTTATCAGTATTCGCATTTTTGGGACACCCTGTATAACTCTTAATAGGAATAAAGCTCAAACTCTAGAATAGCTAGAATTTCAGTCTATGTCTCAAAATTTGGTTTCTAATGAATAGTATTTTTCTTCCTCAGCTCCTGTAAACTGACTGTATCGTCAGCTTCGCCGGCCTATAAATTGTTTTCCTGCAAATGCTAATAGACTTTCCTGCAGATCCAAGGAAAAAAAAACGAAAGACATGTAGTTTCACTGTGAGCTTCTAATGTAGCTAGTAATAGAATTTGTTGATAAAGTATTCTTGTACTTTCTGCGACGTGTATGAAACGAACACACTGCAGTTTACGTCCTAACAAGGGAAGGATACTAACTTAGATTCGCCTTTTGAGATAAGAAACATATATTTGGAATCAGCTTTGAACGCTGATTCCAAATATGCTGCTCCTACTGCTTAGCGTTATTCCGAAGCGAGTTATGGGCTTGCTAATGTGAGTAATCAACAAATTTCTGAATATCATAAGACGGCGTGTAGATTAGAATTTGCTCGAAATAAGTGCTAGGATGTTAAACTAGCATCGGATTAATTCTTCTTGGAAGGGAGCATTATACAATTGCAAAACCACCTAGACGTCGACACCGTAGCATCAGTAAGTCGAGGAGCACGCAAACTTTGCATAGAAAAGAGACCATAACTCGCTTCAGAATAAAGCTAAGCAGTTAGAAACAGCATATTTGGGATCAGCGTTACAAGCTGATTCCAATTATACAGGGTGTCCCAAAAAATGTTTCGAACGTTTGATCGTTAATTCTCTTCCCAAGAAGTCTTTTGCCTTGTTTCAGGGACCGTTTTGTAGAGCTGGCTTCAACTTAGATCTGCATTATAGAACGAATCACCCATCTCTCTTCATTACTGTAGGATTACGGTAGAAACTTGAAAGAGGGCTTTAAGCAATGAAAGGCCATATTTTGCCTCAGAAAAGAAACAAAACAGCCTGAAAGCTTCTACACTAGGCTAATTAGAGTTGCTGATTATAACTGTAAAGTTTCCGACTTATTATGATGCTTCATTGAAGAGTTATGCCAGGTAAGAGGTAGCGGCCATTTTTTCAATGTTCCTAAAAAGTGCGATTACACCGTTTAGAAAACTTCGTAACCTTGTGAACAGTTGAGTATTGAACTCAGCGTCCATAAAAACCCCATTACACAAGTTTTCACAATTATTTGAAAAATTTTGAAACGGCAGCTTTTTTCCACATTGACACCACATGTTTCAAGTTTCTACCGTAATCCTACAGTAATGAAGAGAGATGGGTGATTCGATCTATAATGAGTTGAAGCCAGCTCTACAAAACGGTCTCTGAAGCAAGGCAAAAGACTTCTTGGGAAGAGAGATATTAACGATTAAACGTTCGAAACATTTTTTTGGGACACCCTGTATGTGTCTCATCTCAATAGGCTTATTTATCTAAGTTAGTATCCTTCCCTTGTAAGAAACATTAAGCGGCCTAGGAATTCAGCCGTTTTTTCAACTCGTTAACGAATACGTATCCACAAGATTTCTCGCTCGTGAGACTAGCGGATACACAAAATTCACAATTTTATTTGTCATTTGCATTCCATCGTTTATATTCTTAATTAACTACATTTGGAACAGCCAATGCAACGTCAGATATTTGGGCACTTTTGCGTTATCCGAACCCATTTTTTCAAAAAAGATATTGCTTCTTTCTTTGTACCAAAATTGGTGAAAACTTCACAGGATGGAGAGTCAACCTCCTGCCACCTGTCAAAAAATTGACATTTTGCTACATGTTTGACAGGTTTTCACAGAAGTTTGTTTAGCCTACCTATCAATGCAAGTTCAATCTGTTTTTTATTTTAAAGTGACCTCATTTTTATTCAACGGTTTTTTATGAATGAGCTTTAGATTATGAGAATGACATCCTAACTTTAATAGACCATTAGGTTTTCCCAAAACAGAAAAGTGAGCTATTGCTCTATCATCAGATAAACGGGGCAATCGACAGCCGGTATCTCAAGCCATGATTTAGAAACAATGTGAATAGCAGGACTTCTCTAAATCATTGCTGAAAGCTATCAGGATGTTTTAGTAAACGCTAAAAACTGTTTTGCTCTTGTAAAGACTCTCGGATAGCTTTGAGTGATTGTAAAGGCTCTCGTGCCTCACTGGAAATGACTTTGAAAAAAACATGTCAAGCTGGCCTCAAAAGTATTAATTTTTTCTTGACACGTGGCAAGGAGGCAGTCCTCACAAGATTTATGAAAAAATCTCTAGCCTCAAGCAGGCGTTTTATGGGAACATTTTGAAAAAATGGGTCCGCATAACGGAAAAGTACCAATATTTATATTACTATATACCAAAATCTATTATTATTCATTTAGTACCAATATATGTACCACATATGCGCGCAGTGTTATGCCTTTTGCCGATGAGATATACAAAAAGTCATAAGGTGACGAGGATGTTTCTGTCACAAAATTCATATAGGTCACGGATGTGACTGAAACAACCTTATGCTTAGCTATGTGGACGTGTTCTACACTTATCGATGGGGCAAAACCCAACTGACGATATATCAAAAGAGAGTACGACTTCATGTAAGACGAGTACGACTTGCTGTAAAATGTTCTTGAGGCCAATTTTACTGCACCACTCAACAGCTGCATGACTCAACAAGACGCAATTGCATGCTCAAAAAGTCGAACAACGTTCACTGTTCTCAAACATACTCACTTGCCATATGATTTCGAGAAGTGGATTGCCGTATGACTTCGAGTAGTAGACGTTTTGTGCTTTGATACGATCATGATCGCTTGCAATGGCCCCTAGAAGAGTCTTCACAAAGGACTGCCTTATATGTGCAAAATAATGGCTTTATCATTGAAGAGAATCATCTGAAGTGGTAGATATTTCTGGCCTTATTCTGGTGGAAACCAGAGTAAGGCGTAGTGAATGATGCTGAAAGTTATGGTCGTACTTAAAGACAGCGTCTATCCAAGAAGATGTCACCAAGCAGAATAGCACATGATTGTCGAGCTGGCCCTAGGGGGATATCCGATCTGCATTGGTCCGGTTCTTCTAAAAGGAGATACGGTCCTGTGATACGTATCGCAAGCCGTCTCTGATATCACAACCCCTCCCCCCTCCCCCTCGTGAGGACGAGTGCTCACGCACTGGTCGGTAATGGAGTGCAACTGCAATCATGCAGTTGCAGCCTTTCTCCGCTAGCAAGCCGAAGGATTGAACAATACGAAACTCGTCCTCGCCCTTAAAACTCCCAGGAATCGGACTTTTGAGGGTTTTGACAGTTTGAATTCATAACTGTAATCAGGGCTACGGAAAGCCCCAGAATGACGAAAGCATGGTAGTCAAAATTTTCGGTGGACGCTGCCTCTATGTAGAACGATGGTTCTAGGCTTTAGCGTGGCCTAAGGCAAAATAGCGCCTTTTGGATTGTGTTATACAGAACTCATTAGCTAATAAGCTTTATTGAGTCAGACGACCTGTATGGGTGCTGTAGCATAGAATGCTTACTATGATAGGCGTGGCGATGTATGTTAATAAGCATCTGGTCAATAAACATAGTCATATTACAGCAGGCCATGCTTACGCATGACCTTTACGGTGCTTTGGCAGCAGATATCATACAACAAAGAAGGTGCCGGTATGATCGGCACACCTTGAGAGTTTTTGAAATTTCCCATTCGCGGCATTGAAACTCGATTTATACGCGGCAATTCGATGGTGAAGTTTTTTCTCGATTAGGTGTAGGTGAAAAAAATTGGACTAATTGTGCTGCATTCGAAAGCAGCGATTTATTGAGTGCTCCATGTTTTTCCAGAAAGCTAGAGAGAAAGACCAATATTGAGA